CAGACAAGTTGAATCTTGGCTTCGTTGCAGTCTCCCGTCCTGAGCAAGCACAGTGGCAACAGTGGAAAGGAAAAACTCCCTTTTAAAAGGAAGAAACCTCCAGCAGAACCAGTCTCAGGACAAGCGGCCATTTGCTTTGAACGGCTGGTTGAGAGGACAGGAAGGAGAGACAGACGAGCATAGAATGGTTGGTCCAGGTATAGGTCCAGGTGTGTCTGAAAAAAAAAAAAAAACATGTTAAGGATAGAAAAAATAATTACAAATACAAAACAGGTTGAGCAGAGTAAGTAAAGACAGTAGTAGAGTGAAAATTGTGGTTAGTTTGTCCTCCAGCAGTCTAAGCCTATAGCAGCATAACTAAGGGACAGCTCAGGGAACCCAAGCCGACCCTAACTATAGGATTTAGCAAAAAGGAAAGTCTTAAGCCTAATTTTAAAACTGGATAATGTGTCAGCCTCATGGACAGAGATTGGAAGTTGATTCCACAAGAGAGGAGCCTGATAACTTAGACAAGAGGTGACAATCAGTGAGCAACAGCATGGTTTCATGCCAAGAAAAAGCACCACAGATGCCATCTTTGCTTTGAGGAGGCTAATGGAGAAGTATAAAGAGCCTCAGAAAGAAATCCATAGCATCTTTGTGGATTTAGAAAAATCATGACAGGGTGCCTAGGGAGGAGATGTGGTAATGCATGAGGAAATCTGGAGTGGCATAGCAGTATGTTAGACAGGACGTGTATGAAGACAGCAAGACAGTGGTGAGATGTGCTTTAGGAGCGATGGATAGCTTCAAAGAGGAGGTGGGAGTGCATCAAGGATCGGCTCTGAGCCCCTTCTTGTTTGCTCTGGTGATGGACGGAATAACAGATGAGGTCAGGCAGGAATCCCCGTGGACTATGATGTTTGTACTTGTAGATGACATTGTGATCTGTGGTGAGAACAGGGAACAGGAGGAAGAGAACTTGGAGAGGTGGAGGTATGCACTTGAAAGGAGAGGAATGAAAGTCAGCCGTAGTAAGACAGAGTCCATGTGTGTGAATGAGACGGAGGCTGGTGGAACAGTGAGGCTACAAGGAGCAGAGGTCACAAAGGCGCAGGACTTCAAGGACTTGGGGTCCACTGTCCAGGAACATGGGGGATGTGGTAAAGAGGTGAAAAAGAGAGTCCAGGCAGGATGGAGTTGATGAAGAAATGTTTCAGGAATGAGTTGCGACAAAAGGGTGTCAGCAAAGGTCAAAGGAAAAGTTTACAAGACAGTGGTGAGACCAGCTGTGTTGTATGGTCTGGAGACAGAGACATGGACAAAAAGACAGGAGGAAAAACTGGAAGTGGCAGAAATGAAGATGTTGGGGTTCTCCTTAGGAGTGACAAGGATGGAGAAGATTAGAAATGAGATCATCAAAAGGTACAGCACAGGTTGAACAACTGGGAAATAAATTTATAGAGGCCATACTGAGATGGTTTGGACATGTCCAGAGAAGGGACAGTGGGTATATTGGTAGAAAAATATTAGAAATGTTGGCCAAACAGGAGATATATGGAAAGCGAGAGGACATGGAGGTAGTTGGAGTGAGACAGAGGACGTAGAGGACAGAGTAAGATGGAGGAGGATGACTCGCTGTGGCGACCCCTGAACAGGGAAAAGCTGATGTAAAAAAGGATCAAAGATCACCTTCAGAAAGTGCATGTGGTTCTAGAAGGGTAATGGAATAGAGTCCCACAGTCCAAGAAGTCAGTTTGTTGAACTTTTTTTTTAGATTGTGCTTTTTAAGGAGTTGTTGCTTGAAACCTGCGGTTTCACCCCTGATGTGTTTTTGTGAAAGGATGGATCACTTAGATGGAGTTTTTCTTCATGCACCGCTGAATTTGGATCTGTGTTGGAGCCGTTATACCCTTGGGATGCATGCACTCACTGTTTCCTCTCGTCTCCTTTTTGTGTCCTCTCTTAGCCTCTCTGCTCGTGTGATATTTCCTCTCCTCTACCACTTTACATTTAATTTTCTTTTCTCTCTATTTTTCCTTCTTTATCTTTTGCTATAACAGTTTCTGCAGGCTGATGGAATCTAATTTTAGCTTTTTCCCCTTTTTTTTATTTTGCAGAACGTATACAGAAAATTCAAGATGAGAACAGCTTTCAGTTAAAACATTAAGTATCCACTGGGAGCCAGTTGTGAGGTCAAACATGGTTCACCTCTTGAGGTGCACGTAACATGAATATATAAATGTTGTCATGAGAGCCGATAAAGAGAACAGTTATACAAGCAGAGGGAATGGCAACGCGAAGATAAAAATTATGCAATAACAAGCAGTACGCTGATGTCCCCCATTGATAAGGGCTTTGAATAGTGAATATTTGTAGTTATCAAGATGAGTGTTTTTTTAGACTGGAATAGAACAGGTATTGTAAGTAAACATTTATGTTTTTGGTGCAAGAAACTCAAGTGGGTAAAATCAGAAGAGTTCTAGACAAAAATGTTGGTAGAAGTTACACTGTGGAGAAGAACAAAAGGTTGTTTTTCTTGTCAAATTATCCACTATCAGGCACAATGCTGGAGCCACGAGGTGGCCAGTGGTAGCCTTGGCCACCATAGATTGTTCTTCGGCCACCCCACTGGCTACCCAGTAATTTGAGGAAACTATGTTTTTAAGCAATAGAAAAGCTAGAAAGCATAGTTTCCTCAAATGATAGAGGTAGCTTATTTACTTTTATACTGTATACACAGCAATGGCCATCTTAGATTTTGATGTTGCAACCCAACTTTTGAAAGTGATCATTCTTATGCCTAGATGCAGCTACACACCAAAATAACAGTCAACACAGTTTTTATTTTTTATTTTATTTTATTTTTTTAGGTTATCTGGTTTATGTATATACATATATGGCAGAAGCCATCTTGGATTTTGATGTGGCAAAACAATTTTTGATACTGACCTTTCTTATGCCTAGACGCAGCCACACATCAAAATAGAAGTTGGCGCGTTGCTTATTTTTCCATTTATCCAGCTCACAAGATAGACGGGGAGACATGATGGCAGCCATCTTGGATTTTGATTGGCAACCCAACTTTTGAACAGAAACTTACGCCTAGATGTAGCAACACACCAAATTGGAAGTTAGTACCTCACTTATTTTTCAAGCTATCAAGCTCACATGGGTGGACGGATGGTATTTTCCATATCCCCGAGCTTTTCGCTTCGCGACGGGGGACAAAAACAATAAATAAATAAAATAACCTAACAACAACAATGACAGATTACATGCATATTGTTGCAGATACCAGTATCTCAACTGCAGAAATCTCCTTCTTCCAGAACTCTCTCTCTCTGTGGACACTGAGACTGGTGCATTCACACCAGTCCTGTTTAGTCCGCTTTAATCAAGCTCTAGTCCGTTTGTCTAGAAAGTCCTGTTCGTTTGGGGAGGTGTGAATGTGCAATTGAACTTTGATACGCACCAAATAAGCAAACGCTGGTCTGCCTAAATACCGAGGTCTCCGTTCGGTTGAAGTGAACTCTGGCATGATTCGAATGCGTTGTGAATGCAAGTGGACTGGAAACCGCTCCAAAAGCAGGAAGTGGAGTACAGCACAGGGCAAACAAATGTGCATTTCTCTTACCTCTTACGAAGCCGTCTCAGCCACCTTGTGTGAAAAATCACATTCTCCGTGGTCTTCTGCTTCATCTTCCGCTCATGCTGAGTCCACTGTTGAAAAATGACAAAACAGAAATCCTAAAACCGCTAAAATTTGACGCTACTCCGTTTTTGTTTTTATTTCCAGAAGAAGTGTCTTCTTCGGAGGTTTTTGTATCGTTTTCATCAGTAGTTCTTGGTGCAGCGCCACCACAGGCGAGGAGGGGGAACAGGTTGGCTCGACTGACTCAGCGCAGTGTGAATGTGAACCGCACCAGCTAAAACTGTAAACAAATGTTCTGAATATTGGTCCCCAACCAAACCGAGTCTACCGGACTATCAGGTGTGAAAACAACCTTTCAATCTGCATATTTAGACTGGCATGACTTCCTGTCAACAGGACTTTAATGTGACGCAAAGCAGAAGTTTCACTTTCTTAAAAATATTCAATTTTTGCTCTTAGATCCATTATACTAATCTTTTTGTATTTGTTTTTACAGCATGGAGTGAATGCTTTATGTCTTCTTTCCTATTTCTGTTGCTTTTTTTTATTTATTTTGTATTTTACCGTGACTGTTTCTGAAAAGATGAGCTGCAGGTTTTTGACGTCTGCGATCCAAAGCAGATCCGTCAGCATCGTATTTCCTGACAAAACAACAATCCTTTGGATTATTAAGTAACTCCAGATGAATTGTTCTTTAGCTGAGCAACATAAAACGCCACATTCAGTTTGTGAGCGGAGACCAGCTTTTGTTGTTCCCTCCAGCTTCTTTTTATTACCTTTTTATTGCTTCAGTTTGCTGCACCTTCAGGTCGGATCTTCAGCACTGATGTTGTGGAGGAGAACTCCATTTTCTCCTTTGTGCTGTCGCCATCCATCTGTCACTAAAAAGCCCAGTTGACTGTTTGCCATCAGCACCGTGGCACCCATCACAGCCCCTACTGAGTTATTTCTGTCCTCAGTTGGTTGGACAGAAATAAAATACATTTAATGTAAGCTAATATTAATGTGGTGTAGGAGCTCCCCTGAACATCTAATGATGTCACAGATCTGTTCGGGTTGTTCCATGTCTGTTGTGATGTGTAACGTACTTTACTGAGTGGAAGCAGACAACAATTCATGAACGTCTGCTGCTTTATTTTGACATTTTAACTTCACCGTCTTAACATCCTGTTGGTAAGATTCATAAATGCTGAACTGGAAATGGCAAAGAAAAGTTGGTTTTTAGTTTAAATTCTCTCAGAAACACACAAAAAGCATCAATTATCCTAATTTTGCAGCTGCCACGTGAAGTTCATGCAGTTCTATTTATTTTTTTATGTCTTTCAAAAAGAGCATTTATTGATGAGGCTGGTTTGATTTCAAACAGAACTGGGATGCAGAGGTGCCTGGGACAACATCGCCTGCTGGGAGCGAGCTGAACTTGGAGAAACTGTCACCATCCCATGTCCTCGAGCTCTAAAGACCATATTCGGCAGAAATGGTGAGCTGGGATTTGTTTAGCAGCCATTAAGTTTGTGTGCTTTTTGTAGTTGATCTCATTGTGGCAGTGGGTTAGTTTTTGTCTCAGCGTTAACGTTCAGATGATTTCACTTTTTGACTTCTAAAGGAAAAGGAGAGTAATAATTTTTGGAGCATTTCTTATTGTTCTCTGCAGCATTCTTCAGTTTCTTCGTGGAGTAAATGTACTGGTTTCCATTTAGTTCATGAGTTCAGACAGAGAAGGTCTTATAACTCAGGGTTTACACGTCTGCAGATCTTTTACTGTGTTTTGACTCATGTGAATTAAACACCGACTGGCTCTGTCCTTCCGTCCCGTGAATCACCCTCATTTCTCGCCTTCGTCCATGTGACTCTGCGTGCGCGGTCCGTGCGTTCCCTCCTGAACCCACAACAGTTTTCCAGCCAGTGGCCAGACGACGGTTTAGGTTTCCGCTCTGTTTTACAAATCAGTGACGCAGCATCAGTCAGCGCTCAGCTGCTTGTTTGGAGTCGGTGTTCAAATTAAAGGACGGACCCATACCAGCAAAGCTTCTGCGTTTTACAGAAACTACTTACAGAAATAAAGCTAAATAATTCTGTAAATATAACATTTGCCATCTCAACTGGACTCGAGTCTCTGTGTTGGCTTTGAATGTTTTTACTTCTTTTGAGAAAACAGGAAATGATTGAGACTTTTTCAGGTATTTTCCATTTTGTACAAATTAAACTTTTCATAATGAGCCTTGAAACACTGTAACTCTTCAATTAGAATATTTCAACAGTTTTGAATACTGAAAGTCTAGTGGTGCTTGAAAGTTTGTGAACTCTTTATAATTTTCTATATTTCTGCATAAATATAACCTAAAACATCACCAGATTTTCACACAAGCCCTAAAAGTGGAAAAAGAGAACCCAGTTAAACAAATGAGACACAAATAGTATACTTGGTCATTTATTTATTGTGGAAAATGATCCAATATTATATATTTGTAGGTGGTAAAAGTACTTTTTATTTTTTTCACTCACAAATATACATATTGGATCATTTTCCTCAATAAATAAATGTCCAAGTATAATATTTTGTCTCATTTGTTTAACTGAGTTCTCTACATTTTGGACTTCTGTGAAAATCTGATGATCTTTTAGGTCATATTTATGAAGAAATATGGAAAATTTTAAGGAGTTCATAATCTTTCAAGCACCACTGTATTTCCTGTCAGCGTGCACTGCTTTTTACTTTGATTTTTTTTTTTTCCACAGAAGCATCTCAGCATATAAATGTTGTCCCAATATGTCCAGTAAAATGTCATTTTTAGCCACTGTAACTTTAGAAATTACATCAATTAGCTAGCGAATTTATTTCATTGTATTTTAAAAACGAGTGTCATTCCGTATCAACAACAAAATAAAAGCCACGAAGCTTAAAAGACAATTACGCCTGGAGGAAATCGTAATTGTTTATGTTATATATTTCAGTTATTTTACCCATGTTGTCTGTAGGCTTGTGCGTCAAATCAAACCATAACGCTGTTTCTCAACTTAAAACTCTGTCATGGCAGACGGAGGGTTGAATGCTAGGTCCTTAATTGTTAATCTGTTTTGGTTATATTTACTTTTTTTGAATTCATAAATAATAAATCAAACAGTGTGCTAAATTATCTTACATTTGATTTTACTGAAGAATTACCCAATAAAACATTTCACTCTGATATTTTCTTTTCTTTATAGCGCAGCATTAACATCAGTTTATGACACATATAAAATCCCTTTTTTGATGCCAAAGTTTTGTCTCGGTTTGCCTTTTCTCCGTGCTGCCGCCGCCACGGAGCCTCCTGATGATGTCACGGTAATCACAGTTTTGCTCCAGCTGAGAAAATATCTCAGCTTCAGTTCTGCTCATAGCCTGCAGGGACAGAGTGGAGGCTTTGTTGGGGGGGCATTTTACGGAAGAAGTGTGGTTACTTTCACTCAGCAGGCGAGTGAGGCTTTCAGCATTTTGCAGTGCATTCTGGGAGTTTCTAAAGGGAGCTGAACTCGCCGTGCACTGCAGTGATTTTGGCAGTGGGACCTCCAGATAACGTCCCTGAGCAGTTCACACTCTGCTGGACATGGCTCTTCTTTTAAACTCAAATTAAACTGCAGATGCTGTAATGATTTTACACCAGAAACTTCCCACGACTTTCACAACAAAGGCTCCATCTTTAGGTCAAAACAAATACCTGTAGGGAAATTACCGTTGCAACTTTATTTTAAAAAGTCCCCTGCTCAGATCCAACACTTTTTATTTGTTTATCACTGCGGCTGTCTGCAAGGAAAACGGCACTTTTGCCCACAGACTCAGAGAGGAGCTGCAAATACTGAAGAACCTAAAAATCAACAGAGGAGCTATAAACCGCCTCAGTCCACCACCTCCACGTTGTCTCCCAGGACTAAATCTATTGAACTGCTCATAAAATCCACAAACACCTTCTTTTTAACATTCACATTCATCATGGTGTGTCCAAACCCCTCACTTTCCGTGAAGTCCTGTACTCTTTCTGCCAGTGAAGCAGCTTGATATGTTCTGACTGAACTTGATTGGAAAAGAGTGATGTGGATGTTCAAAACGTGCATGTTGTGAGCATGATCATTTCAAAAATAAGTAAGGTACCAGCTTTCATTTTGATGTGTGGCTACATCTAGGCTCCTTTAGAAATTTGGCTTGCCATGTCAGAATTCAAGAGGGCTGCCGCCACACAACTTTGGTGTGGGAATATCAGGGATTCTGTGTTCAAACTCCGTTGCCAACCTCTGTGCAACCTTGGTTACACTTTGAGCTAGAGACAAAATAATGAGTCCATGCTGGCTCAGACGTTGCCTGGATTAACAAGGTCCATGTCAGATGTTGGTTCACCTGGACATTTTGATGAGGAATGGGCTACTGGAACAAGATATGTATGGGCTCAGTGTTCCAACATTGGAGCGAGGAATCTGCTATCACACCTTGATGAGGTACAACAAAGATGCTACGACAAGGGGGAGCCAGGACAACAAGTCTGGGAGTGTATACCATCATCCCCACCATCAGAGTATGAGTACCAACTACCAAGTCCCATTGCCCTGAGGAATTGAATACAAGAGCAGCAGACGTGAGAATAAAGATTGTGACCAAGCAAGGCCTCTGTATCCTGCACCACTTGCCAAGGCTAAGTGACAAAGTACTTTCTGAAAGTCTCCTAGAAGATCGGTCTTTGACATCACAGAAACCGATACGCTGGTATACACAACAGCCACCATGGATGGCCATACTAGGAGCACTGGTGAGCATCGCCCACCATGGAGAAGGAGGCTCTCCGCAACACGGAGAGAAATCCGTTAGTAAAGCGCCACCACAACAATACCGCAACATGGCTCTAGAGATGTCTTTGAGATTGAGAGCGTTGAGAGACAAAGCTCGGGCTACTCACCTAAAGAGGTGCACTCAAGAAACAGAAGCCAGGAGAACAAACTGGGTATTCTCCACCACACCATCTAGAGTCAGTGGCAGGGTAGATAAGGGTAGATCCACCCAGAGCTGATGGCTTTTTGTTTTTATACACAGTGTAACGCCTACCAACTCAAATATCTTGCAACAAAAGAAGAAGTTGCATTCTGTGTTCAATATCAGCCCAAAAAACACTCATCGCAAAAATTTGAAAACATTCACTATTCATACATATCCTTCAGCTACATGGGTCATCAGTGTATTGCTTATTGACATTTCCCTTAAATGAATGGGTTTATTTCACTTAATTATCTCAGTTGTTGGAAGGACTGCATCAGTCTTCCTAAGGGTTATTTGCATTCTCCATCATCACCATGCTTTAACATCCATCAGTGCTCTGTAACTTCATTTACTGCAGGCTACATTATTCTCGTATCGTAAATGTCACGTCATCGTGTCTGTCTTCATTAGTCAGACTTCACAGGGACGTGCTTAGTGTCCGACTTCTTCTATCTGTTGGACTCTCACAGTTTCAGTGAAATCTTTATATCCATAAGATAAAAATGTCCCGCTCAGACGCTGCAGAAACAGCTGTGAGGTGCGAAAGTCTTTTCATGCTAAATGTCACATGTAGCCCGCGAAGAGGTGGCCTTTATCACTCCAATGGGAGTTTATTAGTCAGACTTATGTGGTGGTGTCACAGAAAAGCACGAGCGATGAGTCAATTTCCTTTAAACAAAATCAGTAAAATATCAGATGTGGTTCCATTTTCTGTCGGTCTGTCCGAGCTTTGGTGCTCAGTGACCTATCAGGACCCCTTTTTAATCATTTTGGCACATGTGTTTAAAAAAAACCTGTATTTTAAAACTCTTAAATGCATTGCTAAAACACCATGGCAGGATCCAAGTTAAAATAATTTAGCTTTTCTTCAAAAAGGTCACAAATTTCTGCGTGAATGTGAAAAATAAACTGTAGTTTTTCTGCCTTTCAGCATCATGGTTCAGTTTGGTTGTTTGTTTGTTTGTTTTTTACCACAAATCTGCTTCCATCAAACTGTCATCGTAGTTTAGACAATAAACTCAGTCCTAGAGTTCCTCTATCATCAAGAAAAAGAACGATTAATTATGTATTCTAGCAGCTATAAGGAAATTAACCCAAGACAAACTGGATCAAACTAACATTCGGTGAAGGAATGCTTATCGCCTTCCACGCTGCGTACCCGAACGTTAAACAAAGCTCTCGTGCCATCAGTTAGCACTCAGAGGATGTGTTGGGGTGACTCTCAGCTACTACCATTCAAAGGTTTAACTGCTTATCTGTAAAACTGACAAACTTAAAGCCATTTTGAGTTTGCTAACAATAATTAGCAGTGAATTGGGTTTCACTCTAAAAGTTAATCACGTTTAAATGCAGCGGTTACTCTAAACTTTTATGTATTCGCTGCTTCAGAAGTCATTTGGAACATTGCCTGTATTTCAAAGCAGTGAGTGATCATAGATGTCCCTCTACATCTTGTTAAAGCCTGGAAACGCGTCAGTTAGTGACCTTCACGCATACTGCTTTGAACTGTCTTGATATCTCGAACTCGTAGGTTTTCAGCCGGACTTCAGAGCTGGTTCGTTACAGAACCAGGAAGTCCTCCACGAGGAGGGAACGTGTTTTCAAAATGTTCCAGCAGAGGACAGAAGCTTTCATCGACGCTCGTCGGCGACTAACTTTACTCGATCTGAGTCATCGGTCTGTGAACGAGAGCTGCCGCTCTTTGTCTCATGTGGTGAAGCGAACTGTAAAAACAGGTTTTGTAAATTAAAAACAAGTGAAGTCATGTTTTTCCTACTAAAACAGTTGAATCTAAAGCATTTTTACCTTTTAACTTTCTTTTCTTGCTTTAAACTCTTGTGGAGGCTCATTAAAAAGTTTTTGTTTGCTTGTTTTTCCAGGTAACATAAGCAAGAACTGCACGGCAGCCGGCTGGTCGGAGGTGTTCCCGAATATCAGCAGTGTGTGTGGGTCCGACACGAGCCAGGACAAGGTGCCGTTCCTGTTTCCCTTATCGGTTACATTTATCAGCAGAGCTCCGATGCGTGCTCGGCCCAGGAAGCCATAACAGAATCTGGACCTTTAGTGGGTTTTAATCGACGAAGCCTGCAGGGCTGATTGTTAATTAAGCCCAGTTTGTGGTGAGAGACTGTTTTTAAAAGGTCATTATGGGGTGAAACACACGAGCAGTTTGTCTGTCAGCTGTTTGCGTCACTCAATGACATCATTTCCCCTCGGCATTGGTGGTAAACTGGTGTCTGACATCAGATCTTTACTTGTCGGTCTTTAAGGAGCACATCTCACCCAATACCACAGTTTTAGACTAAGATCATCTTATTTTAAGAAATGACAGCCATTTTCAAATATAGTATGTATACATATATACTGTATATATATGCATTTGTATATATATATATACAAAGTATGAATCAGTTGAAGATGAACATCCATTCATTATGTTCCTGACGTCTCATTAAAATCCATCCACTGGTTTGTGAGATATTTTGCTAAAAGACTGAATTGATTTAAACAGTTAATGGCAAAAGTTTAAACGCCGTTCTTGTGTGATCTGCTAGTGTTCAAATCATAAGTTGGGTGTTACTCTCTGCTACTACCACACCGAGTCTCAAAACCTCTGAAATCGCCTGAGTTACAATCGTTTTTGTGTGTGTTATGATTGCTTTGCTGTGGCGGCCATCTTGAATCGGATTCTTTTCGATGTTAATAAGTTGTAAACGTACATCCAGTGATTCTGTCCTGGAAGTTTCATTAAAATATGTACATCACAGATGAATGAGATGTTTTGCAAACGGAAAAGATAAATGAACTCTTAGACACGAGCAAAATTCATTGTCGCTCAATCTTTGCTTTTAGTGTCACAAGTCCTACTGAGAGCTTAAAAATAAAAAGTAATGATTGTTCAAACTGTGCGTCCTCAGGTTAAAAACCGTTTTTAGACATTAAATGTGAAAGCTTTACCCGTTTTGTTCTCAGAATATTTAATGTAGGAGCCGAAGGAAAACAATCCAGTTCATGTGAATCAAACTGTCGTTGATAAAAAAAAAACATGAAAGACAAATTTACGTTTGATCTGAAACGGTGGGTGATAATGTAACAGCTGTGTTTGTGTTTGGTTGTTTGAAAAATGTTTTCAAAAGAAACACTGATGAACTTTAATAAAATACTGAGAAAGAAACGATTGGACGCACATTGATAACGCTTTCTGAAGCGTTCACTCTGTAAAGATCCATTTTGCTTGTTGGCGCGACTCTCGTCTCGCAGTTTTCAAACTATTTCTACAAATCATAAATCAAAACGTTCAGCTGTTTCAGGACAATCCTGCTTTGACTTTTGGTGTTGGTGCATCTTTAGCTTTTTGTTTACCATTGTTTTCTCATAGAAAATGAATTGAGCTAATTTTACTGCTCCTTTCACATTTTGTTCTGTTCAGCTTTTTTCAGCTTCCTTGTGCAAACTTAAACTTTTTTCAGCTACTTTCAGCTCTTTTTCAGCTCTTTTGTGCTCCTTTCAGATTCTATCTGCTAACTGCAACATTTTTGTGCTTCTTCTAAGTTATTTCTACGAATTTCAGCGTGATATGAGCCTTTCAGCTTATTTCTGCAAGTTTTAGCTTTTTTTCTAGGATTTCAGCTACTATTTAGCTGTTTTATGCTAAATTTAGTTTTTTCCATTAATTCCATATTTGTTGCACTCATTTAAACTTGTTTCAACCTAATTCAGTCAAAAATGTGTTCTCTCCACTTCCTTCTTATAATTTCAGCTTCTTTCTGATTTTTTTAGCTGCTTTTCAGCTGTTTTGTGCTTTTTTCAAAGACTTTCCACTTTTTTGTGCTTGTTTCTACTTCTTTCAGCCTAATTGGACAAACATGTTTTTTCTGTTTTCTTCTGCTAATTTAAGCCTTCTCTACCTTTTCAGCTACCTTTTTTTTTTTTAGCATTTTTAGCTAATTTCAGCTGTTTTCAGATAATGTTTTTCATGCTAATTTTTGCTACTTTCAACCTAATTAACTTATTTATGGTCATTTCAGCTTATGCTCCTTTCAGCTTTTTTCTTCTATTTCAACTATTATTTAGCTGTTTTATGTTAATTTTAGCATTTTCAGCTAACTCAACATGTTGTTTTAGCTCATTTCAGCTCTTTCCACTTCCTTCTGCCTTTTCAGCTACTTTTAAGCTTTTTTAGCTGTTGCTAATTTCAGCCTTTTTTGTTTCCTTTTACTAATTTACTAATTTTTGTGCTAATTTACACCCAGTTCAGCAAAACTGTGTTCTTCCTGCTTTCTTCTGCTAATTAAGGCTTGTTCTTCCATTTCAGCTACGGTTCAGCATATGTTTTTTAGCTAATTTCAACTGTTTTTCAGCAAGTTCTTCAGCAATAAGCATTCACACTGCATTTTCACAGGAAATGTAATTTCTCTAGTTAACCTTTGGAGTCACTCTGATTCAAGATGGCCGCCAATGTTTTGATGATCCCTCCTCCCTGAAGTCCAGTGTGGACAGCGTTTGGCCTTTTCTGGCCCCCGTGGTGGTGGCTGCTGCTCCCTTGTGCTTCCCCTCGCTGCGTGGTTCAGTTTGGGTCACACGTTCCTCTGAATCAGCCTTTGTGTTTGTAGACCTGCCAGCCGGCCTCTCCTCCGGGCTTCTGCTGGTCCGGTTCCTCCGCTGACCCTCTCAGCACCAATCAGCCGAAACGTTCAAAACAACAACACGCTTCTGTCAGAGGGAAACGGTCCCTCTTTTCTGTGGGACTCTTTTCAACAAAGGAACAAAGTTGAGTGTTTACGTCTTGATTTAAATATTTATTACAGAAATATTGTTAAGAAGGTGTTCCCAAAGAAAAACACAACATATTGGAAAATAAAGTAAAGATGTTAATGAGGGGATGTGACGTTTCTCACAAACAGGTTAAAACGTTTTTTTTAAGAGCTTAGAGGACATTCACCCCTCATCATTTCAGCTTCTTAAACACTTTGATTCTCAACAATCAAATAAAAAAAATCATGTATTTTTTAATCAATGAGCAATCACAGCCAAATCTGCTTCCCTTTTTTAAAAGCGGAAAATTAAATTTTCATGACAAATGCAGAAGTGTTCCCATCAACAAACGTGTTTTTTTATTTTTCATCCTGTAGCACAATCGGTTTAATGAACCCGAGCCGTCTGACACAAGAGAGACCGAACATTAAAGAGAAGCACCAGAATGGGATCAGAAACCTTCGGCGCTTTTTAATCCCACGCATCGCTTCAGACTTTATTAAAACATACAAAGTATAAACACTGTTCTGTCAAACAGAAAAAAAAATGTGAATGAAACTCTTTTTTTAGTATATTTTTATCTGTATTTTGACTGTAACCTTATCTGTTTGTGTTAGTGTACACATCCTCAGAGAAATCAGTTCATAGATTAAGTTTCACAGTTTTTAATCCCAGATTGTCATGTTTACTTGTGTTTAATATTAGTTTGGTTTTGGAGTGAATCGGCCTCATTAGTAGTAACGACCAGGATGTGTTGACTGACAGCTGCTCTGATATGAGTATTCACTGAGATGTTTATGGATCTTTTTTAAAAACGTCACAAGACTATATTAATCTTAATCTGGTGGTTTATTGTCTGTATTTCTGCACCTATAACAAAAATAATGCGCCACGATTACTATTATAAACAAAATTCAGTGGCTCATTGTTGTGTCTCATACATTTGCATCAAAATATAACTTGATTTGTTTTGCAGACGTCTGGTACATTTTTATACTTTTTTTTTTTTTGTTCAATTATTGCTCTTATGTCAAAACATTTAATATCAAACAGAGATACTCAAATATTAAAATACCATCAAAATCTGCAGATAAAAGCTTTAGCTTTAAGAATAAAACAGTCAAATTACAGTACACCCAAAAATAACAATAATATAAAGTATGAAAAAATAAACAGTAAATAATAATCTAAAATATGTGCTAAATAATAATAATAATAATGTAATATAATACAGTGTAGTAAACTGCAGCCTGAACATGAGTCTGTTGTGAGTAGACTGCTATGAATATACTGTAGCAGCTTAAAGGCAAGAAATCAGCAGCATGAATAATCAGCAGCACAGACAAAATGTCAAATCTCCAATTAAAGTGGCATCACAGTGATTATTCTGGTTAGAGATTCATGAGTCGAACAGCCTCAGGGTAGAAGCTGTTCCTCAGTCTAGTGGTTCTACACTTAATGCTCCTCAACCTCCTTCCTGAGGGGAGTGGGGCAAAGTGTGTGTGCTGGGTGAGTGGGGTCCTTCATGATGCAGGTGGCCCTCTTCCTGCATCTAGAGGTATAAATGTGATGGTGGGGAGACTGACTCCACCATCTTCTGTGCAGCCTTCACCACTCTCTGCAAAGCTTTTCCTTCTGCAGCTGTGCAGCCTCCATGCCACTCGTTGATGCTGGAGCACAGGATGCTCTCCACTGCACACCTGTAGAAGGAGGTGAGGACTGAGCTTCCAGAGCAGCTCGTCTCTGCCGTCTGTGGACTGAACCAAACAAGCATGGCAAACTGTTGATGGAACAACTGCAGACTTTAAATGCTCGTCATTCATGTTTTCTTCTGTAAACACAGTGTTCTGCATTGGATGTCACGTCTTCTTCTGCTCATGCAGGTCACCTCAGGGCCGTAGAGTGTTCACACTGGAGTCTGATAACGGTCAGGCCTGCAGGGTTAAAGTAGTCTAATCACAGCTGCCTAGTCAGCTCAATGTCAGCAACTTTGGGTTTGTTTTTCAGTAGATTAGCCTGAAAGTAATAATTATAGGTTGCGGTTCTTGGGAGGCTTGTTTAGAAAATATAGTCACTTATTTTAGATGTACTTCTGTTTGTCGTATCTGTCCACTGAATGTAAACACCAGGTTTGTCTGGTGGTTGCAGCATCCGTCAGTAACTGCAGGATGACGTGCACAACCCTCCCTGCTGTGCCTCGGAGTACTTGTTGCTTTTGTTGATTGGGCTGGTGACTTCCCTGAACCCTCTAATAAAACCCCAAACTGAACTGAATCACGGATCCATACGGGAGTGTTTCCAGATCTAAATCAGACAAATGCTAAATAATTTATTTAATATACAAAAGAAGTACACTCCTTAACCTTCAGTGTGAAGCAGCAGCCTTTTATATTTTGTTTGTTTGTTATAAGCTGTCAGTTTTCCTGGTTATTTGTGTTTGTCCTCACGTTAACCATCTGAGCCATGGAATCAAACGTCTGCTCACATTTTTTTATTTATTTACCTGAAGTTGTGTATTTGCAGCTTCCTCCTATTCGTGCCTTTTGTTTGTTTTGGGTCAGAAATGTCGCAGCTGAACGACCCCCTGACCTGTTTGTCTCTCCAATAATCCTTTGCTTTCTCGACCTCTCACCGCCTGCCTGTGTCCTCTTCTCCCTTAATTTCACTTCAAACCACAGAGACTGATTCAGTCAGAATTACAACAGCAACCAGGAATATTAACCAAATATTATTGCTTGTGGTTTTAAAGTATAAAAAGATTAAATTTCAGTAATACTCTTAGCTTTTAATGCAGTTCCCTCTCTAACCTGTTTAGTGGTTTGTTCTGATAATACATGAAGATGGTGATTGTTGGTCCATTGATGCTGCAACACTCAGCAGATTTAAATGCATTATACTTCTGTTTGTGCAAATAAAAATAATGCTTAGAGCTGATATGATGAAATATGAAAACCAAATTACCTTCTTGCTGATATTAAAGTTACAGGACTGAAAGTAAAAATATTTTTTTGATGACTGAAAGCACAAGAATAATTTGTACATGTATAAAAAAAATTATCCTAACTTTTCATTTACCAAAATCTGTACATTGTCACAGTAAAATCTTTGTTAGATGGTGAACACTGCTGTCAGAAAGCGCTAGAGTGAAAGTCAGAGAAAATTAACAAAAGAACATAATGTAGTTTTTAACAAAGAATGTTATGTCCGGTGTAACCTCTATCCATCCATATCACTATAATTTATAGGAATCCTATCAAACGGTAACAAATATCTCCTTGCCTCAAAGTGCAGCCTATCAAGTTTTTGTGCACTTAGGGATGTTTTGTTGTGCCTGAAAGTGCCAGATGGACCCTGTCTGAGTCACTGACAACCTGATTATAAATAGAACCAGGTTTTAACAATGACAGGAAAGACAAAGACTCATATAGACAGAAAACAGAAAGGAGCTCAGTGTACCTTGCCTGGACATGGGTTATCTTGGAACCAGGCCTGGGGATGGAGCTTGTCAGAGAGTGCCTGGTCTCTACCCATGGGGCCCAGTTGGGCAAAGCCCAAATGAGCAACATGGGCTTGCCTTCCTGTGGGCATGCCACATGCAGGAGGGGCCATACGAGTCAGGTGCAAAGTGCCATTGGTTGTAACCAAAGGCACGAGGCTTTACACTCTGACCATGCCTTACCAAAGCTGGCTCTTGGAACATGGAACGTCACCTCGTTGGTAGGGAAGGAGGCTGAGCTTGTACATGAGGTTGAGAGGACTACATATGGTTGGACTCACCTCAACGCACAGCATGGGCTCCAGAGCCAATTTCCTTGAGGGGGCTGGACCTATTCCATGCTGGAGTTGCCCATAGTGGGAGGTGCCAAGCTGGTGTGAGTCTACTTTTAGCCCCCTGGCTTCGTGCCTGTGTGTTGGAGTTTTCCCAAGTAGATGAGAGAGTAAATTCCCTGCTCCTTTGGGTGGGGGGACGGGCTCTGACAGTTGTGCCTATGTGCCAAATGGCAGCTCAGACTATCCAGCCTTCTTGGAGTCCTTAGCAGGGGTGCTAGAAAGTGCACCAGCTGGCCACTCCTTTATTCTGCTGGAAGACTTCAATGCTCATGTGGGTAACAACAGTGTGACCTGGAGGGACGTGACTGGGAGGAATGGCCTCTCTGATCTGAACTCCCTTTTCTGTTGTTGGACTTGGGTGCTAGTCATGGTTTGTCCATCGCAAACACCATGTTTGAACATAAGGGTGTCCATAAGTGCCCGTGGCACCAGGACACCATAGGGTGCAGATAAATGATTAACTTTGTAGTTGTGTCATTTGATCTGCAGCCACATGTTTTGGACACTCAGATGAAGAGAGGAACTGAGCTGTCATCTGATCACCACCTAGTAGTGAGTTGGATCAGATGGCAGGTAAAGATGCTGGACCAACCCAGTAGACCCAAATGGGTAGTAAGTATTTGCTGGGAACACCTGGCAGAAGAACCCATCAAAAATATATTTATTGCACACCTCAGATAGAGCTTCAACTGTATCCCAGCTGAGGTGGGGGACATTGAGTCCGAGTGGGCCATGTTCTGTGCCACTATTGTCGAGGCAGTTGCCTTGGGCTGTGGCCTCAAGGTTGTCTTTGCTTCTTTGGTGGGCATCCTCAAAGTCAGTGGTGGACAACCCAGGTTAGCAGGGCCGTAAAACTGAAGAAGGAGCCCAATCGAGCCTGTTTGGCTGATAGTACTCCAAAAGCAGCTGAGGAGTATTGGCAGGCCAAGCAGGTTGTAGCCTTGTCTGTTGCTGTGGGAAAAGCTCAGATAAGGGAGGAGTTTGGTGTGACCTTTGATAGACTCTCAATTGGCTCTGAGGCAATTCTGGCAACCCATTAGGCAGATGAGGAGGGGAAAGCAGCACTTTAGCAATATTGTGTTTAGGGAGGGTGAGGTGTTGTTGATCACAACCAGTGATGTTGTCAGGAGGTGGAAGGAATACTTCTTGTACCTTCTCAATCCCAGCAGCACTTTTTTGATGGAGGAAGCTGAGTCAGGGGACTTCGGGGTTGATCTGTCTATAACCAGGGCTGAGGTCACAGAGGCAGCAGGGCTACGGCAGCAGGGCTCTTGGGGTGGACAAAATCTACCATGATTTCTTCAAGGCTTTGGATGTTGTTCGGCTGTCTTGGTTGGCACACCTTTGCAACATCCCCCACCCATCCAGGGCAGTGCCACTGGATTGGCAGCATGGGGTGTTGAGTCCCCTCCTCATGAAGGGGGACTGGAGCATGTGCTCCAATTATAAAGACATCAGTCTCCTTAGCCTCTCCAATAAGGTTTATTCAGGTGTGCTAGAGTCTCATTATGGTCAAACCTCAGATTCAGGAAGAACTATCCAGGTTCCTTCCTTGCTGTGGAACACTGGACCAGGTCTTTACCCTCACTAGGGTCTTCAAAGGGTCATGGGTGTTTGCCCATCCAGTCTACATGTGTTGGATAAGGCATTTTACTGTGTTCCTTGAGGCACATTATGGGGAGTTCTCTGCAAGTATGGGATTGAGGGCCAGTTACTATGGGCCAATCAGTCCATATACGAGGAGTGCGAGAGTTTGCTTCACATTTCTGGCATTCAGTCAGAACACTTCAGGGTGGGAGTTGGACTCCATTAGGGCTGCCCATTGTCATTGATTCTGTTCATAACTTTCATGGACAGAATTTATCAGTGCAGTCAGGGGCAGAGAGAGTTCGGTTTGGTGGCCTCAGGATTCCATCTCTGCTTTTTGCAGATGAAGTGGTCCTGTTGAAATCATTGTACCCTGATCTTCAGCTCTCAGCAGTTTGCAGCTGTGTTTGAAGCAGCTGGGATGGGAATCAGTACTGCTAACACTGAGGCTATGGTCCTCAGTCAGAAAAGGGTGGATTGCTCTCTTCAGGCCGAGGGTGAGGTTCTGCCTTAAGGGGCATACTTCAAGTATTTTGGGGTTTTGTTCATGAGCGAGGGAAGAATGGAGAGTGATACTGACAGTCTGATCAGTGCGGCATTTGTAGTATTGCAAACTCTGTGCCACTCCGTTGTGGTAAAGACAGAGCTGAGCTGGAAGGCGAAGCTATCTGTTTACCTGTGGGTCTATGTTCCTACTCTTTCCTATGGCCATGAACTCCGGGTAGCGACCAAAAGAACGAGATAGCACCTACAGACTGTCAAAATGAGTTTCCTTTGCAGGATAGCTGGACTCTTCCTTAGGGATGGGGTGAGAAGTTCAGTAATCTGGGAGAGACTCAGAGTAGAGCTGCTGCTCCTCCACATCGAGAGGAGCCAGTTGAGGTGGTTCAGGCATCGTGTAAGGATGCTCCCTGGATGCTTCCTTAGGGAAATGCTCTGGACATGTCTGACCAGGAAGAGACCCCGGGGAAGACCCAGGACATGCTGGAGAGACTATGTCTCTCAGCTGGTCTGGGAACACCTCGGAGTCCTCCCAGAAGAGCTAGAATGGGTGGCTGTGGAAAGAGATGCCTGGGCCTCACTGCTCAAGCTGCTGCCCCTACGACCCAACTCTGGAACAAGTGGAAGATAATGGATGGATGGATGGATGGATGGATGGATGGATGGATGGATGGATGGATGGATGGATGGATGGATGGATGGATGGATGGATGGATGGATTTAATGGTAAATCACATCTGTTTTACTGCAGCTGGTGTTCTACGTGGTGGTTCAGACGTTGTACACTCTGGGTCACAGCCTGTCTCTGATCGCTCTCACTACAGGAAGCGCCATCCTCTGCTTGTTCCGGTAAAACCAAATAGTTTTTAACCACATTAAAACCTTTACTACAATATAAATAAGAATAAACATGAAAACATCCATGAACAGGCTAAAAACTAACATATATAAAGTATTGCAGTCAAAAAGCTGATCGTCAACTGATCAGTGCATTCTGAATTAATTCTTCAGTTTCTGTGAAAACAAAGTATTTTCAATCTTTATATTCAAAAACACTTCCACAAAGTTTCTGTCCAGATCTAAACTTTTGCATGTATGTGTCAAATCCTTCTGTTTGTAACGTTGGTGCAGGAAGCTTCACTGCACCAGGAACTACATCCACCTCAACCTCTTCATCTCCTTCATCCTGAGAGCCGTGGCCGTGTTGGTGAAAGATGACATCATCTTCAACCGGACCTCGCAGTGCTCCAACCAGCCGTCCCTGGTGAGAACAAGACCTCCTAAACCTCCTCACCAGGTCTTTCACTGAGGAAATCAATAGATGCTGGGCAGGAAGCTGCACACTCGGAGGTTAACAGCTTGGATTAGGAGCATGTCCACCTCTCCACGACTCATACAGGACAAACAGGAGTGACGACCTCATGACCTTAAATACACCTTTTAAAACATATCGTTTAATGAGCACATTTGTTGGATTATAACAAAGTCCCTGCTGGGCTGGAAGTCTCTACAAACACTGTGGCCATGCAATGGTCCAACTGACAGAAAGCTTACATTAGTGATTACATTCAACAAGAGTTTGATACAAACTTCATCTCCAACCTCAGATCTGCAATGTTTAATGATTCTGTGTGTGTCCATCAGGTCGGGTGTAAAGCCAGCCTGGTGTTTTTCCAGTATTTCATCATGGCCAACTTCTTCTGGCTGCTGGTGGAGGGGCTCTACCTCCACACCCTGCTGGTCGTCATCTTCTCTGAAAACCAGCATTTCATCGTCTACATGTTCATCGGCTGGGGCAAGAAGACTTTGAGTTTTTAATGCCATAATAAAGGAATCAAGTTCATTTTTACCACTGGAGTTTATAAAATGCTCATTATTAAATGGAAAATGAGTAGATAGGTAGTTTTTCAGCAGATAGAAGTTTGCTCCAATTATTCCTGCATTTTTGAGATATTGCACAACTTGCTTGTGTTTTAAAGTGTAAATGCTGTCAGGAGGTTTGTTTGGTTTGTTTCTAACGATGTTTAGGTGGGTGGAACTTTGTTTTCCCAGCAGAATATTTCTCTGTAATGAGACAAACACTCTAATATTCATGTTGGGAGGCTGTAACTGATCAGTAGGTGTGTTTAAATGTGAAAATCAAAGCTGTGGTGAAGTTTGATCTTCATCTCCTTCATGCAGGAATCCCCACGGTGTTTGTCTCTGTATGGGTGGCAACACGGATTTATCTGGAAGACACGGGGTGAGTAACACGTTAGCATTTCCAAATCTCAAATCAGAGATATTTACAGCTACCTGCGCTCTGAAGAACTATATCGTCCATTGTTTGTTTTGTTGAATCAGAAAATAACATTTTATAGTTTTAAATCCGTCCACAGTGCATCGTGGGGGATGTTTGCTAATTTTCCACATTAATAAAACAATAAATCATTCTGAAAATTATTGATTAAATTGATCATTTATGAGAACATTTCTTTTACGTCTTCATTATAGGAGCTTTATGTATTTGTCGCTGTTTTTTAAAACAGGCAAAACTGCAAAATATTGACTGAGTATGAACTTAAACACAGTTTGATAAAACTAAATAAATAGATAAAAGAGTAAAAATAGCAAAACTCTGGAGAATCATGAGGAAATTCAATTTAGGTTTAATTTAAACTCATTGAATGCTTTTTTAATTCTTAAAGTTTAGACTAGAAATAAAAATAGATTGTCAAAAATCGTGTTATAATATAACAAATAGATATAAATAGGTAGATATAAAATTGGTAGACAAAAAGCAGCGAAAAGCTTTGAAAACAAGAGATACTATTAAGGTTTTAAAAGCTTGTTTTATATGTTTATATTTGTCAGATCTGGGAAAACAAAAAAAGAAATAATAAAACAGAAAGCCTTATGGCTCACCAAAATACAAGAACATCAACGCCACGGTCATTTAGAAGCAAATGTGTTTTTGTCATTTCAATGTTGTTGTGTTTAGTTTTTCTGTAAATGTCTAACAAATTGTTTGTTTTAGGCTCTTTGTGGGTTTTTAGAAATAAACATAACGGATAATAGGAGGGTGACGACAATGACCCTGAATTGTTCCAGGAAGTCATGGATTTTCACAATAAGAGCTGGATGAGAGTCTCAGCTGACTTCAGCTGTCAGAAGTGTCGAATCTTAGATGCTGGTTTGGTTTGAGTGATGCTGATGAACTGACAGACAGACTGTTGTGAGGTGGACTCTGGACCGGACTCTGGACCGGACTCTGGACCGGACTCAGGACCGGACTCTGGACCGGACTCTGGACCGGACTCTGAATGAAGCAGCAGCAGAGCCTGAAGGTGAAACTGTCTGTTTAGAGTCAGATCTGCTTCTCTGAACCAATCAGCAGGAAAAATGAGTCGCAGAGTGAAAGTGTCACGATCTGGGCTTTTGGATGCGTGTGTTCGGTTCTCTCTGTGTTTAGTATTGTTGGGATTTTTACTCTTTTTATCATCGTCCTTTTCTTTGTTTTGGGATGCTTTTGTTTTGTTCTGTTCTTTGTGTTTTATTTTATTTACCAGTATTCTGTGTTTAGTCCAGTTCAGTGTTGCCAGATATACAATAATGATTTACACAGTAGTTTTAAGATCTATATAACATATAATCAACAGATTTTAAAAGGTCCCCCTTTTTGTGTGGCCAGGCGGACATATAACACAGATGAACTAATCCCGGCTGCGCAAGAGAGACCAGTCTACCATATCAAACCAGACCCAAGATAGACGAGGAGAACTGGAGGTCCTGTGGTTAAAGAGGGTGTGCGGTGGAGAATAAAAAAGTTTAGATTTAGAAAACTGAATCAAATCAAAGCGTCAGCAGGATTCATTTTTACTGTTCCAGCTGCGTTTCTCTGCTAATTTTCCATTCCTGAAGCCATGAGGAGTTTAATCTCAAGATCCTAAAACTAGGCGTTGTCAAAACACCATCCGTGTGTGGGACAATAACAAAGAGCGTCTTATTTAAAGGAATAACGATCTTTTCATTCTCACTTTAAGAATCTAAAGCAGCACTAATGAAGCAGCACGAGACAAACGACTTGTTGCACTAAATTAAAACCTTGATTCTACTTTTAATGTTTTTATTCCTTCTGGTAACCAGAGAAGATCACTTGTTGTGTCTGTAGGTGCTGGGAGAGAAATGATAATCCCATTCCGAACTGGGTGATCAATGGACCAATTGGATTCTCCATCATGGTAAGAGCAGCTTCTTTATCTTGTTTGTTTACAGGTGAAACATCTGAATACAGCTGGAAGACGTTTGGCTTTGAAATTCAGACGTGACACACTTTGAGGACACACTTCTCCATTTTCTACTTAAAATGTGTCCAAAAATGTGCTTTATTGTTAATTTACCTCAAGCAGAACATCTCATGTGTAACATGGCCGTGCACCAAGAGCAACTTGATATAAATTTGCGACGCTCCAGCTGCTTATCAACAAAAACACATTGGAGTTGCTGAAACTTGTCGTTTTAATTAGCCTTAATAAAATGTGAACTCTATCTGCTCCAGTGAGCGTTCTCTGTAGCTCGTGTGGCGCGAGGCGCGAGCGTCCCTCGTCTGACGGGATTAATGTCACATGACCTCCTGCTGGTTTGATTCCTGCTGACTGGAAGTTCTCCCAACCTTTAAAGGTCTCAGTGACGGGGGAGGGTCTTCATGTTGCAAGGAAACTTACTGCTATTAAAGGAACTTGAATGCATCCTGATGCATGCTCAATAATCCAGAAACATCTAACAAAGTTAAGTCAGGTCCTCAGGACGGATTTAAAATTAATTAATTTAAAAAACTTGTTGAAACGTTTCATCTTTAATCTAAAAAACTTGGTCAGTGGAAAATAAAAATGGTTTCCCAAACATCTTGTCACCATCAAACTGGTTGGCCCACTTTGTGGATGTGCTGCTTGTGGGACTGAGTTTGTTGTGGCTCCTCGGACTGATGAAGTCCTTTGGATGTCCTTGATGAAGTCCTTTTGTGTGTGTGTATTGTTTGCTTTTGTCTTGTGGGTTTATTGTTTATAAATTCTGTACAGCACTTTGAACTGCTTTTAGTATGAATAAAAGCATGTTCATACTAAAATACATACTAATTTATAAATTAAATTGATTGATTGATGAAGGACGAAACATCTAAATAAAATAAAAACAACCGTCCAGATGACCTGACTTAACTTTGTTGGATTTTTTACCTGGATTATCGAGCATGAACTTTGACATTGTGCGTGTCATTTTCCAATCTAGATTATAAATACTTGATAGTAAAAAGGCAGAAGAGTTTAATTTGCTGCATGTTATAGTTAATTTGTGCTTTGGGTGATGAAAAGCGAAAATGCTCAAGTTTTACGAACTTGTTGTAGAAAACGTGTTCAGTCATATTCTGGAGAAAAGTTTCAGTTTATGTCCTTGGACCTTTATTCTTGGTGAGCTTGTGTATCATCTTTGTTTTCCTCGTAAACACCCGGTTCCTGTTGCTGTTTTAGGTCAACTTCATCCAGTTCGTCAACATTATTCGGATCTTGGTTCAGAAGCTGCGGTGTCCCGACATCGGCGGCAACGACCAGTCACAGTACAGGTGATTTACAAACAGCGTCACAGATAAAGGATCTTCTAAGAGCAACATTTTTCAAAGCTGACAATCTGTGTCAGTAACTAAGAAGTTCAGCTAATTCTTCACCTGCTTTAATTATGATTCAGCTGAGAAAATATTGAAAAAAAAAAAACCTTTCCAGGACATTTTTTGTCCTCCGGCTGTTCATAGAGGTAAGAATGACGTTAACATTCATTCAACGAGACAGAACTTCATGATGCAGCCTTTAAAAACCGGAGGTGAACCCTCCGTTTCACAGTTCCAGCTCGTTTTTCTGTCCGACTCTCTGCCGCGGAGACTTTAATCTTCAGGCAGCTTTGGCCTGCGGAGGAATCTGAGCCGCGTCGGCTTGTCAGGTATTCTCATGTCGCGTAGTAAAGGGGGTCTGAGATTCAAAGGAAGGAGGTGATGAAAAGCTGAGATGTATCCGGTTTGTTCGTGTTCGTGCTGTAAATAAAGACTCCGAGTCAGAGCAGGTCCTAGCTGAGCCGACAGGTAACGTGTGATCCTCCAACATCTGATTTTAGGGCAACTTAAAAATGAAAAACATCTCAAATGTGTGTAAATATTACAGTAATATTACACAGAGGAATCCAACCTAACAAAAATACATCATTGTTGCTAAAAGGTTAATCATGTGATTATTAACGATACTGTGACTGATCCACAAATTCAACAATTATTACAGTTTTATCTTTCCTTATATGCTTTTATGTCCAATTGCGTCACTTCCTGTTAATTTGACACACATTTTAATTGACAGGAAGTTAACAAGAGTATAATATGCACCTAATAAAGTGTGAACGTTTAACCCTCTACTCAAAGCTAGAAGACTTTATAATCTTGTGAGTTTAAACTGTTTTCTGTCTCAGGAGGCTGGCCAAGTCCACCCTGCTGCTCATCCCTCTGTTTGGGATCCACTACGTGGTCTTCGTGTGTCTCAGTGAGTCCATCGCTGAAGATTATAAAATCTTCTTTGACCTGGCCCTCGGATCCTTTCAGGTAGGATGTTATCAGAATAAGTTTTATCATCACTGCACCAAAACACAGTGAGATTAAGTTCGTACAGTTAACCGAAAGACGGGCGGAGTGCACGTTTGCTGCTGCTCCTTGAGAGCGTGGCCCCTTGTCCTTGTTCAGAATACTTTTGATGTAGAAAAGGGGAAAAGCTCATGAGGAAAGGATAGTGGTATTTGAAAAAGGATCTCTTCACATCTTGTCCTATCAGGACACGATTTAAAACATTAAGAAACTCTTCCAGCAGAACATTTGTAGACACATTACATAATTATGCATTTGACGGCAAGATGGTGAGATTTGTCCACGAAGCACTTCCAGATAGTCCATAGTCCTGATAAGATGTTGGTGTCAGCCGGTGCAGCTCTGTTAAGCCTTCACAGAAGTTTTTTTTTTTGGGGGGGGGGGGGATAGACATATATTTTCCTTAGTTTACACATATCCCAGGAGAAATGTGATCCGAGGCCAAACGGGGGAGTCAGATTCAGATGAGCCACAATTGTTGATTTTTTTCTTGTCAGCCTCGAGTCCTGCTGGTACTTTTGGGTTCTGCTGGTTATGCACTTTTCTTTCTGCATGATGTCATTTACACCTTTTAGTTCAGAGTTTACTCATTTCTGTTTGTTTGTTTGTTTTATTTGCAGGGTTTGGTTGTGGCCATACTCTACTGTTTCCTGAACAGTGAGGTGAGTTTTTAAATCTTCTTTTAGTTTCAGGAGATATTATAATAGGAAAGATTTTGTAACATGGTCATTTAGGAATCACTGCATTTTGATCAAGTTTAGGGGAAAAAAAAAAAATCAGTTTTTTAGCAAATTTAGTTTGGGGGAGTGGTGGAGCAGAGGTTAGAGAAGGTGAGCCTGATTGGAAGGTCACCGGTTCAATTCCCTGAACTGATAACAGCAAAATGTGGGTGGAAAAAGTGAAGTACTCACACCTGACTCCACTTTAATTTGCCATCTTGGCTCTTGAGCAAGGCCCCCCACCCCCCGGCACCCTAGATGGCAGCTCTCTGCTCCACACAGAGGGCTGTGGTAGCTCGGTGGTCTGTGGTTGCAACAGGAAGGGCATGCAGCGTAAAAACAATTGCCAAGTCTTCATGCGGGTTAGTTCTTTGTGGTGACCCCTGAAGAAGGGAGCAGCAAAAATAAAATAAAAAAAGCAGGTGAACTTTACCTTTATCATTTTATTTTTCCGAGTAAATATTAGATTTATATCTTTTTGGAAACAATTCCAGTAGAATGCATGGACAGATTGGGGAAAAATTACTAGTTCCTTGTTGTTATATTACAATTCCTTTGAGTTTTATAAATAAGATTCTCTGAATTAGAGTTGTGAAGTGATGCAGGTCCAAGTGGTTTTACTTCAACTCCTGTTTGGTTTTGGGGGTTTTTCTTCCAGTATTTGTACGGAACAGGAGCTCAGGTTGAAAATCAAGTTAATTAAAAGTAATTTAACTTTCTTTCATTGTTTTGGCCTTTACATCAACATAAAAAATCACATCAGTTTTATTTCCAGATAAAAAGCAGTTGTTTTTTTAAGTAGTCCAGATTAGCCACACAGCTTTATATTTTCTAAAATTTTAAGATTCATTCACGATCATGTAGCTGGGCTTTGAGAGCACGCACCTATTTTCAAACATGTCACTTCGGGGAACAGAAAAACTTAGTTTTTTTTTTAACTTTCCGTTTCCATCGACCTTTATTAAAGCGTACATTCGAAACGGGCACAAAGATTATTGATCGAAACATGAATACTGTCTCATCGTGACTATTTAATCCTTTAGATTAAGAAAACATGCCTAACTCATGTTTTTATTCCCGTTTCAGGTTCAAGGGGAGTTGAAGAGAAAATGGCGGAGCGTTTGTCTGAACTGCCACCTGAGCAGAACTCGTCATCTAAACAACAACTTCGCCTCCAGGAACGGTTCGGAGCACATGATGCAGTTTCATCGCAACTCCAGAGCTCAGTCCATCCTGCAGTCAGAGACCACCATGTTGTGAGGGGGGGTCCAGAACATTCGTGCAGTCTTCAGGCTGACCTGGGTCAGATAGTTTTTCAGATTTTAAACAGCGCTGACCGTGAGGACGGGTGCGATCTGCCCCGAGTCTTGTGCTTCCTCTGTTCAGATCCGATATTTGAGGCGACGCTCGTTTCTGAAAACATTTAATCTGCTGGTTTGATGTTTGCTGCTTTCAACCGGTAAACTATCTGGAACTTCACATTATCCTAAGGTTGAAGGTCTGTGTGAGCTATAAGAGTTACCTACTTGAATGTTCTTCACAGTAAAGGTGTTATGTTTGAAGAAATATAAACCATCAGTGAAGTTTGGATACTGTTACTCTAATAGTGTTATAGTTCAATCATAATCCAGCGACCGCTGGAGATCAGGCTCCCCGTGACCCTGAACAAGAACAAGCAGATTAAAAACGATGAATTAAATGTTCTAAAACTGTCTCAAGACAGAAGGACCAAGACTCACATCTGCTGCAGAGTTCAGCCTGGTGGGTCGGGAGTTCATCTTCCAGTCGGAGGGTTGAGGATTTGATCCCAGCCCCTACATGGTGCCGCAGTGTCCTTGGGCCAGATGCTGAACCCCTCATTTCTCCTGATATGCTTATTGGTGTATAGGTGAGACAAACATTCTGTAAATAAGGTGTAAAATATATCAACGCTGCATAAAGTAATGGGTTAAAGAGAAACTGACCTCTCCTGGTTAAAGCACGTACAAAGACGTGTGCATGTGCGGACCATCAGCCTCACAAACTGTAAATGAACAGACTTGGGCTCGAGTGGACACGCTTCAGAGTTTGACAGACACGCGTCAACATCAGCTGCTTGGAGATAATTGATTTAGAGCTTCAGTGACTGAGCCAACTGTACCGAATACACAGGCTGGTGTTTCCATGTCTTACAGTGAGTCTACTACATCTCCCCCACTTGTTGACAGAAGACACAACTGCAGCGTTTTATTAAAAGCAGTGATAAAGCTCATTGGTGTGATCACAGAAAATGTGCTGTCCATCTGGGGAGACCTTAAAGTGTCTGATTGTTTGTTTGTTTTTTTGTCAAATTAATTGGTTTTCTTCTGTACATTGTATGACGTCCCCACTACGACGTCAAAAATCTGCCATATTCTATATGTTTGCTGCATTTCTTCAGGTTCACATTAGTGAGCTCTATCTTATTACAGCCCAAGATAGGTCCACGGCGGTTTAGAGCTGTGGTTAAACTAAGTACAAGTACAACGGTGGTACCTAGAAGAAATTTTGGTCTTAACCATTTCCAATAAGGATTATTAACCATCATCAACCAAACAGTGACGTAAAACAAAAAACAAAAAAAGCAGGCAACCAACAAGATGAGTGGTTCAAGCAAATTATGATCTTGGTTTCAACAGAATTTCCTGAATTCAAAATGCAGTGAAAACATTTTCAAGAACCCCTGTGAAAACTGGAGGATACTATGATTATTCTGTGTGCTTGCAGCCACTGAAGAAGCTTTGCTGAAGTACTGTTGGATTAAAAAATATCCTTTATTTATCTTATTTAATCAAAGAAGACACACTCGAGAACACGAGAAGACTTTTAACTGGTTTTACTTGCAAGGGCAGACTTTCAGAACAGGTACACAGATGTACGGAAGCATGGAGCCCAGTCATGAGAATCTGCCACGGGCAGCGTGCAAGAATTGTTTTTAGAAACTTATCGGCTCTCTCGGCTCACAGGCAGACACTGATGACCTTGACCACTCAGCTGCACATGCAGGATCAAATCAGTTCCTCTGTGCTAACTCAAACACATGGTTCACAGGCAGTAAACATTCTCAGCCATAGTAGTTAAAAAAAAAAATCCATAAACCTTGACCAAAAATCCCCTGACAAGTACTGTAGGAGCCGCTACAACAGTGTCCAGAGTCGATGTTTATTTGTCATACGTGCCACATGTGGTACATGTAGTGGAACAAAATTGTGCACACAGGGTCCCAGTTAAATCCAACAAAAAATATAAAAATGTAAAAGAAAAACAGTAATAAGATCTAAGATATGAACTAAGAAAAACGTCAACTAAAATTACGCTAAACACTGGTAGTACAAAAACAATTTAAAAAGTGCAAAACGGTGGAGCAGTTTGAGTCAAGCCATCTTACATTTGCTGTTCTAGTTGTTTGTGGGGCAGATGAAAACTGCCATACTGGTGGTACTAGGAGAGTTTTATGATTTCTGTGATGGTATTTGGTATTGCAGTTTGAGAACTGCTGGTTTAGACCAACGTCTGTAGCATGGTCGTGGTGATTTATCGTCAGGACAGTGTATTGAGGTCCTGGTAGATATTTGTGACGTGTGGTCCGTGCACAAGCATGGCTGGGTCATTGTATGACCTGATCTTTTAGCATGTACCTGCAACCGGGCATGAACTGAGAGCCACAGCGTGTGCTGAGGGTGCCAGTGTGAATCTTGGGGAAAACCCAAATGATGAATACTTGGAGTTAAGCAGCACCATAATTAGAGGGTTTCCATCTTGGCTAGCTGTGTTGTGGTAGATCAGTGTTGTCATCAAAGGGGTCTTAAACATTTGATGCAACATTTGTTGCTCGTTATTGGGACATTTTCAGAATATAGAGTTGGCCGTGACAAAGACCTGTTCGTTGTTCAATCTGAAGACTTTTTATTTTTAAAGCTTTGTTATTGGTTCATCATTTTAGGCTTCACTTATCACAGATCAGGAGCAAGTTTTCGTGTCTCCATTGCAGCTACCTAATAAAGTTTCCATCCAGACAAAGAAACAAAAAAAACAGTAACATCTTTCAAGTAGCCCAGATTGTGTAGACAACTTTAGCCCTCCCAGCTGCATGTTTAAACCAGGTCAGTAAATCTCTGGGTGCTGTTTTTGTACCAATTCAGTCGTTCAGTTTAACGTACCTTTAATGAAGTGCTGTGTGAAGAGCTGTGCATGTTTCAAATCTTTATCCATTTTAAACTCACTGCTTTGAAACGATGTGGGAGGAAATGCAGTATTTCTGATTAAAGATGTTATTTATTTAAAAGGGATCTTACAGCACTGTGCTGCAGAATGTCCAGGCTCGTATTTATAATCAGCACCGCTGTCTTAAAATAGTATCTGTTGCTTTTGTTTCATGTTTATGGATTGTGTGCTTGGAGAATAGAAGAATAATTTTGAAAAGGTGAGAGTAGCCTGCACACACACCTGTACTTGTGTTTTCTAAAGCTCACATGAAACAAAATGCTCAGTTAAGTCCTGAAATGGAGGTTAAAGCAAATCTGTAATCTCTTTTCTCTCTTTTGTCAAGATTTGTAACAACCCACTACGTTCAGTGCTCTACGGCAATCCAGTGTGGAGCTCATGCACGAGTCGCTGTTCAACGGTTCATCAGGCTGTTCTAATCTGAGTTCAGTTTATTTCAACTGTAAGCTACTCCTTTAATATCTCCCGTCTCAAAAACACTGGCTCTGTAAATTAAAAGCTCTGATTATTTATAAAAATAAATCCAGAACAAGCAACACAAGAACCATTTTAGTTTCATTCCAACCCTGGTCGAACTTTGTTTCAATTAAAGAAATATTTTGGGTAGGGATGCACGATATTATCGGCATCATATCGGTATCGGCCGATATTCGCATTAAATATCAGACATCGGCCATTCCATCAAAATAACTCACCAATATATATATATACAATATCGTGCATCCCTAATTTTGGGTTTAAGAGACTTCGTGGTAACAAAAAAAAAAAATCTTAATACCCTGAAAATGTAAAGCTTTGTTTGTCCCATTTAACATAAATCAACAGTTCATGAAAAATAAAAAAGCATACATGTTAGGCTGCCATCAGCTAAAGAGATCTGTGATCTCAATGGGATTTGCCTGGTTAAATAAAGGTTAATAAAAACAAATAATAAATAAATGAACGCCTTGAGTTTGTTAATTTGGACTGAACATTGCCAGCAGCACCAGTGAAACGTTCATGCGCTCCTGGACGTGCGCAAACACAAAAGGTTAACGCAGAACAAGCATTGGCTGTGGCTTTAAAGGGTTAAAACCGTAAAGACCGTTTGAACTGGGCTTTAATTCGTTTTGCTCCAACATTTGCATTTTTTCTTGACAGCCACCGTTTAAAGCAGAAATGTTTGATGGAAATGTAAAAATAAAAAAAATAGCTCAGCAGTGCGTTTGCCTTTTCATATGGCTGTCACTTTGTTCTGGACTTTAAGGTATTTTATGTTTTTGTCAAAGAAAATTGGTGAACTTTGTTTTGTATATTTGTTGTGGTAAATTATTTGAAGACAGAATAGTATGGACACGTAACTTAAGGCATTTAAAACCACCACCACTACCGTATTTTTCAGACTATATGGCGCATTAAGCGAAACAAAGCAGTCAGATAAGTCAAACTTTATTCAACTCGTTAAAAATACAGTAATTAAAAATGAGTGTGTAATTATGTTTATTGTCTCAAGTGCCCATGACGTCGTTTATTGGTTTATTATTTGGTTTTTCACATTTAAAACATTTAAACCAAATCCAAATTTGATGGATAATTTATTCCTGAAGGAATTCCTCGTTTTAATAAAACAAAATGTCAAAGAATCACAATAGTATATAAATATACCTCTAAATGATTTGAAAAGTATATTAGAGGCCACAACAAACATTTTAAAGACATTTTTTAAAAGTTTAAAGAAAAATAAACCTTTAAATTTGATCATGCAGCTGTATGCCATAAGCAACGTGTTGTAACGTCGTCACCACCTCACGTACATGTACATGTACATAAATACAAGTATTCAGTGATACACAGACTTAAAGAACGCAGCGTTAACATGTTAATTCTGACTGACCTGATGTTTAGTGTCGTCTTGAATTCATGTATTTGTATTGATACACCATGAATGTCATGCAAAAGATGATTTATAAAATTATCTTTCCAAGCACTGCACTGTGTGAATTTAGCTTTTATTTAAAAAAAATTGTTTTTGAACTTTT